AAAGAATTTATTTTTAAGAGTGTATAAATTTAATTTTTTATTTTTTATTTTTGATAAATATTTTTTATTAGTATAATTATTTAACTAAAAAGATGATAAATTAAAAATAAATGATAAAAATTTTAACTCATAAACTTTTAAGGGATATTTATTAAAATTATTACAAGTTAAAAATAAATGGAATTTTTTATGAGTGTACTTTTTTGTCACCAATTTGACACAAGCATCATTAAAATGTGGCACATTGCAAGGGAGGAGGGAGGGCGCATTACCAATTCTGGGCAAGTTGTCAAAACCCTATAAGTTTAAGGACAAATTTACAAGATACCTTAAAAGATAAATTTTAGATAGATCATAAAAGAGGGAGTTAAAAAGAAATAGAATCACTAGATAAATGAATAGAATAAAAAAAGAGAGAGCAAAGATTCAAGAGAAAGAATGAGAACAAAAAAGGAACCAAAAATCTTAGTACTCGTTTATCAACTAAAAATTGAATTGAAAACAAAAACTAAATTATTCACTAAAAATGAAAATCCTAATCCCATCTTAATTTAATAATAAGATATCTTAATAGATAAGCACAATCCTAAAGAAACTTAAATTCTAAAAATAATTCAAATCTTAAAAATAAACAGAACTTTAAATGCAATATTAAATATTAAATATTAAAATTAACTAAATTCTAATACTCCACCAACTCCCTTACATCATAAACTAAAGGGTGTTCACGGATTGAAATCTACGGATTAAGGGTCAATTCACAATTCAATCAAAAAACTTTTTAAGATACAAAACTTTTTTTGGATCTAATCCAATTCAATTCAAAAACTTGTTGGATTTTGCAGATTGGATTCACAGATTCCACAAATTACAACATTTAAACTTAGTTTTCATTCATTCAAAATAAAACACAACATGAAATGATCTTCACAATTATCAATAACAATTTAAAGTTTAAAAGTTTACAACATCCACAGCCCACATAAACATAGCATAACATAAAACCCTTCAACAAATTTTAAATTGTTACAACCCAATTAATTGCCATAAAATATGAATAATTAAATAATATAACATTTAGATATATACAAAAAAAATTTCAAAAGATAAAAATAAAACTTAACCTAAAAAATTATATGTATGTATATAATACGTTTCTGATTTACAGATTTTGCAGATTGAGAAATAATCAATCCACAAACCGATCCAAAACCTTCGGATTGAAAAATTTCCAATATGTGTTTAATACAAAAACTTTTCCAACACAATCCCAACCTTAAATTAGATTGGATTTGACGAATCAATTAAATGATTCTATGAATATCAAAACCCTACAAGTTCAAAGACAAATTTATAAAATACCCTAAAAGATATAAAATTTAGATAGATCATAGAAGATAAATAGTTAAAAGAGAAATAGAACCACTAGATATATAAAGAGAATCAAAAAGAAAGAGCAAAGATTCAAGAGAAAGAATGAGAACAAAAAAGGAACTAAAAACATCAGTACTCATTTATCAACCAAAAAATGTATTGAAAACAAAAACTATATTATTCACAAAAAATGAAAATCCTAATCCATCTTAATTTGATAATGAGATAAACATAAATATTTTAAAATATCTTAATTGATAAGCATAATCCTAAAGAAAACTTAATTCATAAAAATAATTCAAATCTTAAAAATAAACATAACTTTAAATGTAATATTATATACTAAATATTAAAATTAACTAAATGCTATTACTCCAATTCCCTTACATCACATACAAGCCAAAGTGGTACACCGCGCTTGCATATCTATCCTGTGGGGAAACGCCCATTGTCATCTCTCAAAGTACAGGATTATGCTCCCGCAAAATAATAATAATAATAATAATAATAATAATAATAATAAGAAAAATTTTCTAATACACTTGACGTATCGGTATGCTAAGTTTTTTTATCATCAAATCTACATATTTTTTAATTTTTTATGTGATTTTATGCAAATCTAATGAACATAAAACTTGACTTATCAGCATATTAACATATTAAAAAAAGTCTTAATAATAATGATGATGGTGGTAATGATAATGATAATTTAGAGTACACGTCAAAGTTAAAAGGAGGATACCAGGATAAAAAGGAAAAAAAAAAAAAAGAAAGAAGATTTCCATGGTAGGAATTAAAAAAATAAATTATTAGTAAGTTTCTGTTTTACATATCTATATTTGTTTTATTTTAATATAATTTTGTGCAAATTAAACGATAAAAAGTGTGCAGTACTGTTTTGTATTACTATTAATACAAGGCCTATAACAGAAGACCCAGAAAAAATTGTCAATGAAAACCTTTTCTAAATCCCACCCATATCAGATAAACAATACATCACAAAAATATTGACTTTATTTATATTTCTCCAAATTATTTTTAAGATTATTTACATTTTCGTACCTTTATTAAGTTAATTCAAAAAGTACACCTTTATCAATCTCATTAAATATATACCTTAAATTAAATTTATTACACAAATTTGTACTTTTTAAAGTCAATATTCAAATTTGACCTAAAATACCCATAATACCCTTACTAAAATACCCATAATACGCTTAAAACGGTCAGCTCTCAAAATAAGAGAGAAAAAAGTATAGAACTGAAAAGGGATTTTTTCTCCCCAAATTCACCTCTCGCCTTTACGCGACGATAGTCGAATCAATGCAAGTTGCTATTCTCTTTTTTCCTCTCCTAGTTTATGTCTTTCCTCCCATTTTCTTCCCCTCTTCCCAAACATAACCCGAATGTGTCAACCCAAGGAAGCAACAAGATCAATCTTTTGTAAAGTTGTTATTTTCGAAGTTACATCACTTTATTTAATAAATTCAAAAATAATTAAATCATTTACTTGAACAAATAGGACACAAAATGTCGCTCAACAAAAAGAACATAAAATGAAACCACAGGAGCCTATACACAAGTTCGGTTCAGATGTTTAATTTCTTTTAGAACTCATCATCCTGTCCACTGTTTTGAAATATTTTTCTGACAAATTGCTGAAAACCGTGGATTTAAAACATTTATATTCAGTTAAAAGTCACCAGGTTGATACCAAGCTGCACAACTATGTCAATGCTTGCGCCATTAGGGACCGATGGGATAGCTGCCGTTCGTAGAGCTCGCGAAAGATCCGATATTTGGCATCATGGTACTTCTTCACTTTGGGATCTTTAGAAGGATGAATAACCTACCAAATTCAAATATGAAAACTGAAAAAAAAAAAAACAAAATAAAGGATGCCAAAGTCTATTATATTTCTCTTTTTTTAATACAAAACAGACATAAGTCTCCCTGAGTCCTTTTTTCAGTCCTTTATTTTTAAGTGGTTCCTGTCTTGAGAATTACAGGTTATGAAAATCATTCAGGGAGGTGCCAGTTAACCATAGACATTATTCAGGTGGCTTATTCACTTTGTTAGATTAACGACTAACCAAGAGAGGAATATGTTAATTTCAAAATTTTAGCGAACCAAAAAAAAAATCCAATCTCATTTCCGAGTGTTAGTGAATTACCAAAGAACTATGGCTAAAATCTAAATATTAGAAACAAAAAAAAAAAAATGATAACAGTAATTAATGCATACCCGACCGGCTGCATTTAGAGCCTTCATAGCCTCGTGCACGCTAGAATACTTTCTTGCAGCAACAGAGCCAAGAATGGCAGCACCCAAGAGCACAGATTCGCTTTCTCGTGGCAGAATAATAGGACAACCTGAAAGAACAATTTCTTAGAAAGCTAGAACTGAATATGTGTGAAGATGTCTAGAAGACTTCTTCCATGAATATATAACAGGAAAAATGAGAAAACATTTAAAGCAAGTTAATTTGAGAATCTAGAAAACCCCATGAATGCCCCAACAACTGTTTATCTACTTTAACCTATTAATACGCAGAACCAGTTTGATAATTGTACAGCTACATTATTCAGTTCAAAGCAAAACTTGCTGTGAAAGGTAAACAATATAGGTCCAAAAACCTAAGCTAAACACAACATAAATGAAGACTCGCGACAAAAGTAGCTTTAGGTAAAAAATTTAAAAAAAGGGCCCATAAATCGAAAATGAAAAACATAAATACACTTCAGCAACGACATACATAATACATAAATGAAAAAAAAAAAAAACAAAAAAAACAAAAAAAACAAAAAAAACAAACAAAACAAACAAACAAACAAAGGGAGAGGGGAAAGAGAGAGAAAAATACCGATTATATCTGCATGTTCTTGAACAAATAATGGGTTCTTTGCAAGGCCACCGCATGCAAGTATAGTGTCAATCTGAAAAGGAGAGGACAGGAGAGAAAATGAAGTCAAAAGATGGAAGCAATCCATAATAAGGAACCTGGAATGCACCTGGAATGCGAAGAGATATGTAGGAATCAAAGAGGATACTCGGAAAGAAGTTTACTTCAAACAATATATACACATACACATATGTATGTATATATATAATATATATACACATATGCATCTATATATATATATAATTACATGAGAAACAAAATAAACCTGTTCAAGATATGTGACTCTAACGACAATTCTCTGCTGTTTTATTAGATTTTTTAACGATGCAAAAGAATCAAATACCTTTTACAATGTAAATATTAACTAAATCAACCTAAGAAAATATGCAAATTATGATGGAGTATATCCTTACTTTGTGACCATGGGCATTACAGTGCTCCACAATGTGACGTGTACCATATGCAATACCTTCGACTGTAGCAAGGTACAAAAGAGCCAGCTGCTTCTCACTTGTGTCAAGAGTTAAGCCACAGACTATTCCTTTTGCTTTTGGGTCTGCAATAGGTGACCTGAGCTATCACAACTTTATCAGCTTATAAAAGATTTTGGCACTAAGAGTCTAAGACCAGAGAAGTCCAGCCTAAGTGTGTATGCATAATTATTCACCTATTTCCATGGAAATCAGGAAGGACATGTGTCTCTTCAGTCAATGAAGCAAGAAACGGAAGCTTCAGATCAAGCGTCATTGTTTCTAATGTCTTGTTCAGAAGTTCAAATATAGAGATATCTAGGAATTCATAATGACACGGAAAGAGGGAGAGTGAAAGACGAAGAAAGAGAGAGAGATCCACTTAAGTTAGTGTTAACTACGTCTACCCTGCCAATATCAAAATAACATTTCACACTAACTAGAGGGGAAAAAAAAAGCTCACTTCGAGAAGCTGCACGATTTGCAAGGAGAGCAGAAGCAACATGGTTTTCAATTACGTGATCCAATAATGCACCAGTAGCACTTTGACCACCTTCTGTAAGCCAATATTCTGGTACCATAGCTGAACACGTGTAGAAAATAAATTATATAAACAACGTTTGAGTCCCAATTAGCAATGATAAAACTGTGGAACTATGCTCCACTTCAAAAAGGCAGAAGACAATTAGACATGGAAGCATTCCCATTATGCCATTGATCTTCAATTGACCAGTAGCACTCAGGTGTGTGTGTGTGTGTGTGTAAATGACTCTTATAATTCTTTGGCCATACAATGTATCGACTTGCTGTATTTCAAAAGTGTACCTGACCAAAATGGTCCCCAGACCCCCGGAATGAATAGCTTGCTCTTTGATACAGCCATATGGCAAGTAGAGGTTCCACATACCAACACCATGCGATGGCATAGAGCTTCCACATCATCCTCTGAAACATGTGCATTTTGTTTCAAAGAAAATATTGTTATTTTGTACGACTGACTGAATAATGTTAACAAAGAAATAGCATACGAATTACTCATAATAACCTTTTGCTTCAGAATCTGAGACAGGCACGCTTTCCATTACCCCCACACCACCAGCATGAGCGTCAATTAATGAAGTCCCAACAGGAATTCCTGCTAACAAACCTAATTCCTGGAATCAAGTTCAGACTTCAGAGAATAATAATAATAATAATTAAAAAAAAAAGCAACAACACGTGCTGTATAGTATATCATGTCGAGACACCCTTTAAAGCCCACAACAAAAGAACTTAAGAACATATTCACATTCTTCCAAGTCAATCAAGTTTTTGCTCGGCTTAAGGACCTCAAGGGAGCGCCAGTTGAAATCAATGGGAAATCTTCAGTACAAAATTTTCTTGCCTTCGCAGCAGTTGGAGTTAGACCAGAACCCAACGCATGGCCAGGGAAAGCTACACTTCGTCCTGTTAGCACAACACATTGTCAAGACACTACCATAAGTATCACACTATGACAAAAGAAGTATACTAAGTACAAAGAAACCGAGGAATAATTAATATCTACCCATAGATAGGGACAAACAAAAGAAGACATATTTGCGTAAAACATAAAAGGAGTCATATGGAGCAGCTTCCAAATTTAACTCTATTTTTCATTACTATCAACTATGTTATGCATAATAGTAACGCTTTTTCATTACCATCAACTAGGTTATGCATAATAGTAATGTACACGAATCGCTTCTTGATAATTCACAACTAGCAATTCTGTGCTGGAGAAGTAATTAAGAGAAATAGAGCACAGTAATCTTTGTTTAAGCATGAATAATTCCCCCTTTCCGAAGAACACAAGAAGGTTGCCGCGATTGAAAAAAAAAAGGTCAGTTGTTGCTGAATTAATAATTTAAAATTGCAACAAAACTCTCGCCGCCCTTTTCAACAATTAAGTCGATTACTACTCTACAATCAAGCCACTTAACAGCCTTTACAGCCCAACCAGAAGAAATGAAAAAAATAGGTTACCGATCGTATATACTATACATCACACAACAGTACACATATATGGAAAGATTCATAGAAAATTATTACAAGCACAATCCTAGAGCATACCTATCTTAGCATGATGACCCTCTACAAGGTCAGCCAATCCAATCTCCTCCCAAAAATCGTCATCCCATCCACAAGCTTCCATATCTCGTGAATCTTTCTCACTGTTTTGTTGCATGTGTGCATGACCAAGATATGTCCACTTACACACTGTGGTACACAGACTTCTAGTATCATCTCCTGTTGCTCTAGGAAAATTCAAACAAATCTTAAGATTTGTATTCATAAATTCCTCTTAATTTCTACATCTACCTAGACTAAGAAAGTTTTGTCAAATATCAAGCTGAAGCAAACACCTGTATGACAACCAATCACTCAAATCCATCCACCTGAACACCATTGACCATGATTCTTGCAAATTTTCTTTCACCCACAAAAGCTGCAAAAGAAACAATTTGATATTTGGAAAGAATGTGAATGGTTGAAACCCATAAGGAAATGAGAGGTAAGAAAACAAATTGATTTAAATTTAAACGTATTTATCAAATGAACAAGCATGATCATATCCTCAAATAATCTCACAAGGTAAACCACGATGCATTAGAAGCTGTCATCAATTTTAGCTATAAAAAAACTTTATGCCAGCTAAAAGATCAAAAATAGAAGTTTCTTATCCCAATGCCAGATGTCCCCCAGCCAAGGAAAAAAGTATATATACATATATTTATATCCCAGCACAAGACTATATCGTTGCTTAAGACCAGTTGGTCTAGTGGCACTGGGGGGTTTGGATAGGATGGGGTTTAGGGGGAGGTTGCAGGTGATCCCATATTGTATCAAAAAAAAAAAAAAAGACTATATCATCAGATTAGCTGTTGTAACTTGTAAGAGTAACTCCAACTATGTTAGCCATTTTATGTTTTTAGCCAAAATGGCTAATGGATTAGCTTTTTTTTTTGTGTGGCTTTTTTCTGTTCCAACCATTAGCTAAATGGTTAGCTATTTTGAAGAATGCGTTTCACACTAGCTAAATATAGCTAGCATGGAGAGGCTAGCCATTTAATTTTTTGTATTATTTTATTCTTTCAACTGTAATAAATGCAAAGGTTTTTTTTTAAATTCAATAAAGTTATTTATATTTTTAATTCAATAAATATTAAAATACTCTACATTTAGCTAAAATAGGGAGTATGGTTGGAGTGAAACACCCAAAAATTGCTAGCTTAGTTTTCTAGTCATTTTAGCTAAAATTTAACTAAAATTTAGAGAGTTCCCTTTGAGATGCTCTAAGTACCTTTGGTGGCTGCATTTCAGGGGAGAGAGCCCCACCACAGTACTGCAATACAGGCGAATTACGTGAATTGATTCTCTCAGCTTGTTCTACAGCTCTGTGGTCCATCCACACTATTATGTTTCTTCTAGAGTCACCACTCCAAGATACAGTAACAGGAGAGCCATCGGAATCAACAGCAACTGCGAGGAGATTATAATTTTAGCATAGTATATAACTTTACAGGCTCCATATAACTTTACAAGCTCCTTTAGCAAAAACATTAATAGGCTAAACAAGTCAGACAATGTTCTCTTAATAAAGACTGTGGTGAAAAAATGAAAAAAATAAAATAAAATAAAGTACATACCAAGAGAACAAGTAGCTGCAAATCCAATACCCTTTACTTCTTCCCCAGCAATATTTGCAATGGAGCATGCAGCTTTCACAGCAGCACAGACTGCAAGCCAGATATCCGTAGAAGATTGCTGATTTTCAAAAGCATCACTGATCTTTCAGTAAACCACATCTAACTGAATAGTTCACTTCGCTCAATGAAAACATGCAAGATTGCAACATGAATGCAAATTCTCCAACATCTTTCCTGATGCTTTAAATGGCCATTTGAATATGGTATGGTTACGAGACCAATATGGAAAATTTTAAACTTCTAAGGATTCAAAAATTGCCCACACTCCACTACAATTTACAAGTACAAATGAAGGTCAATTGCTCAATTTTCCTACCTCAATGCAGTCGCCCTCTTTCCAAATCTGTATTGGGCTACTGGACGAACCAAGAAGCTTCCCATTTTCATCAAATAGACCTATAATGTGTTAACTTTAAACAAGTCTAATGTCTGAATATTCTACGTAACTAAGCACAATACGATATAAGAAAGAACAAAATTTGTTTCTTCAAAAGAAGAAACGAAAGTTAAGATTCAATCTTGGCACAGTTGTACATTGTTTTGTGATGATGAAATAGGAATTACAACCACCTCTCTCTCCAACCTTTATAAGTGTCTTTTAACCGAGAGAGAAAAGGACAAATCGAACAATATCATGGAAATTAATACAGTTTTCAAAACATCAGGCAAAAATATAAGGGAAGCACAGAACGAGACTAAAGCATTAATAAGTCCGAAATGCAAATCAAAATACATTATCGAGCTATTGATCTTAATCTCAGAACGTACAAAATTTGAGAAAGCCTAACACAGAAACGCACAAAAAAAAAACACACACACATTTCAATGCATAAAATCGAACTATTAATCTTGAACGCATAACATACGAGGTTTCAAAAATCCAAACACAGAACGGCAAGAGAGAAACGAACAGTTCGATGCATATTACAACTGTCGAACCACAAACAACGAATCAAAAAAACCACAACCAAACTACTTATTTTAATCTCAAAACTTACAAGTTTCAAAAATCCAAACACAGAACTGCAGAGAAAAAAAAGAAAGAAAAAAGAAAAACCGGAATCAAGCAATTAATCGTAATCGCAGAACATACAAAGTTTCAAAATTCCAAAACACACTAGAAAGGCAAGAGAAAGAAACAAACGTTTCAATACATTTCCACAAATGCCGAACCACAACACCATCAAACTCATCAAGAAAACCGCAATCAGACAACGAAACCTGCGCAATTTCCACAATCCAAACACATACAAATGCATCGGAATGAAAGATATGTTAGAGGTAGAGACCTGCACGAGCGCTGCCGGTGCCGACGTCGACACCGAGGAAAACGGTGCGGGCGAGAACGCCATCCACATCGCCATCGCCGGCGGTGGCGGAGGCGGCGGCCATCTCGAGATAGACAGCGGAGGCGGAGGAGGAGAGATTTTGGTAAGAGGAAGAAGAAGATTGTTGGTGTAGATGAGATTTTGACTTTTGTTGGCCTAATAACGGTATCGTATCGGACCCTCGTCTTTTACCTGACATTTCTTTTCTTTTTGTTTTTATTTTTGCTCTCTCTTTAAGTCTTCGTTGTCTTTTTCCTTTTCAGAAAAATTTCTCTCCTTTCCTCTTGCTTTTTAGACAAGCAACTATGGTCAGAGACTCGTGGGCCGGCCCGAGCCCATTCTGACATAGTGTTAGATTAGGCCGGTTCTGTATGATACTGTTTTAAGATGGGAAATAGTAAAAAATATGCTAATATGAAAAGCTTAAGAAAGTATATAGGTTAATTTTTAGTTATAGAAATTAATATATTATAATTTGTCAAGTTATGATTTATAACCAGATAAGTTATGGACAAACTTGTCAAGTTATGATTCATAGCCAGACAAGTTATGGATAAAAACCGTGAATTATGGACAATAACTTGTCAAGTTATGGTTCATAACCAGACAAGTTATGGACGAAAACAGTAATTTGGCCTATTTATTAACATATGTAAACTATTAGCCTATTAATTTTAATTCATCTCAAATCTTTGTCTATTTCCCTCTTTTTCCCTTTTAAGATACAATATAGCCCAATAAAATTTGTGTGCTGGGTTGGGCTACCATTTCTCAGCCCAAAGACTGACCCAACACGACCAGTAAAAATTCATGAGTCAGATTGGATTTAGGTCATGTCGGACCCAACATGAGCTGGCCCGTGCCGGCCCATGTAAGGCCCACTTAATTCGGCCCATATAAGCCCACAGTTTCCATTAACTAAATAAATATATATTTTCATATTTTGATTAACTATTCAGACTTTTATTAACTTGTTTAAAAATTTAAAAATAAATATTAAAAAAATTAAAAAATAAAGACTAAGATGGACTGACACATCTAAACTTACGATGAGTCAAGATGGGTCTACCCATCCTAACTCATTGATGGGGCTCAAATGGGCCGGCTTGTTCATGGTCTATGGCACAGTCTAGTCTGACTCATAGAAAATTGGCTCATGGTATGGGCTGGCCGATGGTTGTTTTTATATGGACCGGCCCGACCCGTTCTTGCAACTTTATTGCTTTTATGGATTTTTTTTTCTTTTTTTCCCTTTTTTTTGTTCTCATAATGATATTTGTGGGGGGTGATGGTTATCGGTTTATTCGTTTATTTTGAGTGTTTACAGTAAGTTTTTTTTTTCTTTCTTGGTGTTTGTTTTTCTCATTGATTTTTTTATTTTTTTATTTTTTTTGAAAGGTTTTCTCATTGTTTTTTCTTGTCTTACTTCAGCTCTTTTTGTTTTTTAGTACTTCAGCTTTCCTTGTTGCTTTGGCTTTCTTGAAATTAGCTGAATAACCATCACCTTCCCTTTAATTAATTTTTTTTTCAACAAAGAATTGCTAAACTTACTATTACTCGGAGAAGGAAAATAAAAAGCCTAAAATGACTATGCTATTGGATTTTTTATGCGGAAATGTGTATCTAGTAAATCATGTATAACAAAAATTTAATAAACTTTAAAGATACTCTATAGAATACATTAATTTATGTACGAATAAATTAATTAAATTAATTTATGAATAAATTTACCCAGCAAACGATTAGGTTGATAACTTGAGTTCTTTGACCATGAACATTCTTCGCTCTAAGCTTGTTTAGAATACCCAAATCTTCCTCGTCAATTTCTTGAATCTATGATGATGTGTGTGTGGGCACACCTGAAACAAAATAGAATTAGCACTTAAACACTCAAGTTTTCCACGAACACCAATACATGCACGACGCGGAATTTAGGAGAAAATTTTCCTTTTCCTTACTCTATAAAACCAGCCACTATATGCTAGGGAGAGCAAAAATTGTGTTCTCTAATATTCTGCAATCTTCTATTTATAGAGTAGTAGTCAAACACCTAGAAGAAGTCTAAACTTGATCTCCAAGATAAAACTTGATAATTATCTCTCACTTCTAATTGGTTTTGGAAACAAAATCTCATCTCTCTCTCTTATCTTATTAGGCCAGCCACCACATGGATATTCCACCCCTGTGGTAGGCGCAAATTACAAGTAGGGAAGGAGAAAAAATTCTCATTTATCCTGCAGTCCAATTTGACTCAAATTCAAATTTTAATTAAAGTCAAACTTAATTTAATTTGAATTCAAATTAGACAACTTATCAAATAAGTCAATTGGATAACTTAGAAAGCAAGTAACTGAATCCCAAAAGGATTCTAACAGTGTTGGGCGTGTACACCATGTGAACTCCTCCACATGTGTGTTCCAAAATTCAAATTTAAATAATCGCATTAGTTAACTTATAATTAATTCTCAAATAATTATTCTTAAGCGTTCTATTTAAAACTTCATAATTCTAAAATTCTTATTTTGCCCTTAGGGTGCGTTTGTTACAGTGGGGGAATGATAATGGGAATAGGAGTGAGAATGGTAATGGGAATGGAATGGAAAAGAAAGTTGATTCATTTATTCGGTTGTAATTTTAAGAATTCTCTAGAAAGGAACATGAATATTTTCATGTTGACAAACTTACCCTTATGCTATATATAACACTAATATTTTATCTATCAATATAATATATAAAATGGAATATAATATAATAAAATTATTATTATATAATATATCATATAATTATGATATATAATATAACAATATCATTAAAATTGTTAATATAATTATAATATTATAATATATAAAATGTAATATAATATAATAAAATTATTATTATATAATTATGATATATAATATAACAATATTATTAAAATTGTTAATATAATTATAATATTATAATATATAAAATGTAATATAATATAATAAAATTATTATTATATAATTATGATATATAATATAACAATATTATTAAAATTGTTAATATAATTATAATATTATAATATATAAAATGTAATATAATATAATAAAATTATTATTATATAATTATGATATATAATATAACAATATTATTAAAATTGTTAATATAATTATAATATTATAATATATAAAATGTAATATAATATAATAAAATTATTATTATATAATTATGATATATAATATAACAATATTATTAAAATTGTTAATATAATTATAATATTATAATATATAAAATGTAATATAATATAATAAAATTATTATTATATAATTTATTATATTATAAGATATAACTACTATATAATATATTTTAATTATATTATAATATTGAAGGGTAATTATGAAAAAAATATATAAAAAAAAACTTAGAATGGTTATTCCTCCCATATGAGGAAGGAATGATGATTCACTCAAAATGGATGAATGATCGTTCCTTTTAAATGATCATTCCTTTCTTATAAATCTAACCAAACATCAAACTAGAATTTCATTTCATTCTATTACATTCCTTTCCACCCAACCAAACACACCCTTAGTGCCTTTTGGGATTATAAGGACGACACGGGGACTCATGGACTTATAATTCTAAGCTCGAATAAAATTAATAATTAATTAAAACTCTTTAATTAATTAGTTAATTCTAAAAGTTACTCCATTATAAGCTTGGAATTGCACTCTCGTAATTATAGATATAATTTACTTATAAACTGTGAAGTGTCAATTTGATATAGCCATTACATATAGATCAATCCCTCATAAATAATTTATAATTAGAGCTAGGTGAAATCTATTAACCTCTCTAATTACATCTTTATCCTTGAGTACCATTGATTCTCTAATGGATAGTGATTCATAAAACAAATTCATGAATCAGAGTTCATACTAGTCTAAGTACCGAATCAACCCTCAAGAGAATTATTTATCTACTTTTTTCTCAAGAAGGAATTGATTCTATCTCGTATATTAACATTCTCAGCTACCAACTTCATCATATCTCCAAAATACAAGGAATAGGATTTAGCAAAGTCAAAAGACATAAATCCACAAATAGGAGTCTGCTAATAACTCAAGATTAAGATCGTTCTATATATGACCATCAATTGACTCAATTAGAATTTCTATGCTTTATGAAAATTATCAAAAATTCATATTGTGTCTGTGATCGGTTCTAAACAATCTCATTATGCGTAATACACTCATTCAATATCTCGCCATATTAACAGTGTGGATAATACCGTTCTATTCTTAATGAGAATGACATGTATTAATGATGTTTTAATTAAAGATTCTGAACTTTAATTAAACTCATTACGAACATAGTTTTGATTATTGTCCTTAAATATTATCCTCTCGCATATAAAACTTATAATATTTAAAATCACATAAATAATCATGAAATTTTTAATGATATTCATAAATTATTTAATAATATATGCACATAAAATAATTAATAAACTCTTTTATTAAATAAATAATAACTATCATGTTACATCTCATACTTTTAAAACATCATTCCCAACATATGCTTGCATAAAAAACTAAAACTAGTCATTTCCAAAAAAAAAAAAAAAAACCTGAAATTGGTCCCCCACACAAAAAAAAAGTAGTAATAAAAGATAATATCATTTTGGTACCATATATTATAGTAAAATATGCTCTTGATATCATGTATTTTTTGATAATATTAAAATAATACCTCGACGTTTTAAAAAAAAACATCTTCTTAGTATCCTGAAATTAATTTTTGAGACGTAAAATAACTTTAGTACCTTTCTATTTAATTAACCAAAACTAATAAATCTAGAAAAAATCATGAACTTTTGTATTTTGTTGTTTTATTTTAATATTTTATTGTTTTAAGATATTTATATATATTTTTAAACAAATATTGATTTCTATTTAACAAATAAAAAGAGTAGTTTGGACATTACATATTCTAAAAATCAATTTTAGCATACTAAAACATGGCTATGATTTGATCCGATATTCTTAAAATGGCTAATCTATTCCATCCAATTAAAGGACAAAACAGGTTTATTGAGGGAGAGCATATGAATCGTTTCGTACGTTTCTTTTCTCAATTAACGCAAGAAACCTTTTTTTTTACATTATTATTATTTTTACTTTCTTTCCCCTAATTCTCTTTTACTCTTTTCCCTTGCGTCTTTCTTCCCTCCCATTTTTCTCCTCTACAA